GGATATAGGATGGATAGATACTATTTGAATGGGTAAGTAGTGGATAAATGGCAGATGAATGGAAGGGTGAATCTGTACTCCATAAATGAATGGTAGGTATTTGAACAGACGCATAGATTGAAGGGCAGTTGGATGGTTGAATGGACACTAGATGGGTAGATAGAGGACTTCATGGATGTTGATGGATATGATTAATGGATGGTTGGATGGATAGATGGATGGGTGGATGGACATCGTATAATGGATGGATGCTGTATGGATAGACAGAGGGTTGAATTGACTGAATGAATGGATAGATGAATGAACAAATGGTAGATGAATAAGCAAGCAGAAGGATGGATGATAGGCAGGTGCTAGATGCTGGGTGAATGAATGCTGGATGGTGACCTCTTGACAATTTCCTGTCTTTGGTCTTGACTTCCCCAGCAGCATCCAACTCCAAACAGCCAATTCACATGGTCTATGTCCCCTCCCACCTCTACCACATGCTGTTTGAACTCTTCAAGGTGAGGAGGCTCTCGGATTGTCCTTTGCAGGGAGATGGGAGTAGTTGAGGCTAGGCTCCTCTCACTCGCTCTTACCTTTTTCCTTCCATAGAATGCCATGCGAGCAACTGTGGAAAGCCATGAATCCAGCCTCATTCTCCCACCTATCAAGGTCATGGTGGCCTTGGGCGAAGAAGATCTGTCTATCAAAGTATGTAACCTTTGACTTTGGGGGCCAGAGAGCAGTAGGATGCTCTGGCCACCGTGCCTGCCAGGAGATGGGCTTCAGGAAGACCTTGGGGACAGGGAAGGCCATGAAAGGTCAGGGGGGTTAAGAGGTGGGACATGTGGAAAACTGAGGTCTGGCAAGGCCCTGACGTGTCCCATCTCCCCCAGATGAGTGACCGAGGTGGGGGTGTCCCTTTGAGGAAGATTGAGCGACTCTTCAGCTACATGTACTCCACAGCACCCACCCCCCAGCCCGGCACTGGGGGGACCCCATTGGTGAGATGGCTTCACCCCAATTCCCCTCCTACCTCCTAAAGGATGCTTGTCTTTTTTCCTTCCCATCGAATTGTCATGCCTCCCCACCTCTGGCCTCTTAGCTCCCATGGTCTCTCCATTCTTGTGTGGCTGTGTGTGATGTCAGTCCCCTCTCCCGACCGGACCTTCCTGTTCAGCACAGTCTCTGAGCTTGCACATACCTGCCCATCTGGTGTCTGCCTGTCACCTTTTCTCAACTCCCCCCTCCCTTCTATCTCCCTACACTTTCTACCTCTCTCTTGGTAGTGTTCAACTCACCAACACCTGTCCATTCCCAGTGGAGTAAGCAGGACTGGGTTTGGGAAATCGGGACTCAGAGACGCCCTGTGACCTGCCCAGACCCCCTGACTGCCAGGGCCCTGCTCCTCTCCCTGCCGTGCTTACGGCCCCCACCCTGGCCCCCAACGCCGCCTCAGCCTTCCTCACTCCACAAGACTGATTTCCCACTTGCCTCAGAGCCTGTCCTTTCTCATATCCCTCCCTAGGGACATGTCCCTAGCAGGTCATGTCTGCAGCAGGTCACCCACAGAACCCCAGCTCAGCCCTCCTGCCTCAGCCCATTGGTCCCAGGAGTTCTGGGGAGGCTGGCACCAGCTTCCTCATCGCTCCCTGCTCTCGCCCCCTTGTAGGCTGGCTTTGGGTACGGGCTCCCCATTTCCCGCCTCTATGCCAAGTACTTCCAGGGAGACCTGCAGCTCTTTTCCATGGAGGGCTTTGGGACTGATGCTGTCATCTATCTCAAGGTGAGGCCCGTGCCTGCGGCACCCAGCTTGGGGGGTGCAGGCAGGTCAGGCATGATTGAGCTGCTGTTAAGTTTCTCTTTCCCATCCTTCCAATCCTTCCTGATTCCAGACTGAGAATCAGAGCAAAGCTACAGTTCCCCAGCCCCCAGGCACTCCCTACTTGGCAAGCAACTCCATGGTCTATGACTAAGTCCCTGTTCTGGGGACCCTTGACTTGTTAGATCTAGAAGGAAGGCGGGACGACTTAGAGCTTGGCATTCAGCTCAAGGGGAAACTGAGGCCCAGAGTTAGTGACCTTGTTGAAGGTCACACAGCCCGGCCTCTGCCACTTCCTTCTTGACCCTCTGAGTGAGCAGGAGCAAGACAGTAGGGACGGATCCTTTCAGGGGTCTCTCCAGGCTGGGGCAGTTGTCTCAGCCAGTGTCTGAAACCTCACTGGGCTGACTCAGACATAGAGTGGGACACATGGGCCACAGTCCGTGGCCAATATACTCCACCTTGTGGGTGGGTGTTCTCCTGAGGAGTGGGCAAGGTGCAGGGGGGCAGAAGAGGCTGACCCTGCTGCTCTCCAGGCCCTGTCCACGGACTCGGTGGAGCGCCTGCCCGTCTACAACAAGTCAGCCTGGCGTCACTACCAGACCATCCAGGAGGCCGGCGACTGGTGTGTGCCCAGCACAGAGCCCAAGAACACGTCCACATACCGTGTCAGCTAGGGGCCACCGCCCTCAGCTGCACCTGAGAGAATGGGCCGCTGTCTCTGGGCCTGGCCACCACGGTGACCCTCCCTGTCCCCCTAGGCTCTCTCTGATGACCAGCTGTGTCTCTGTGGAAATCACTGTGGTGACCAGGCTGTAGTGGCCCCTAAAGTGCCAACCTCTGTCTCCATGGAGACCTCTAGGCAGTCTCCATGGAGACCCCTAGGCAGTCTCCACGGTGTCCAAGCTCTGTGGGTGATGCCTGAGGACTGGGGGCTGTTTCCATCCTGATGGGGTACCCCAGAGATACATTTCCATGGCAGTCTTCCTCTCTGAGACCAGAACTGCCCCTTTCTGCCAGGGCTCCAGGCCTTTCACTGCCCTCTGCAGCCCTGGCTTCCCAGTGGACACCCCTGCTTGCCTTATTTCCCTGGCCTATACAGGCACCTGGCCCTGCTCTGGTGTCAGTTAGCAAAGGGCCCGGCACCCTCCAGATCTGGGGTAGTCGGCTGGGGAAGGGGTTGCACTGTTGGACGCCTGGTCTGGGCTCTGGTCTTGGGCCCTCTGAGCTAGGAGGTCGTGGCTGGGAGAAGAGGGGCTTCCCTGAAATGCCAGAAACCTGGGAGGACCCAGAGGTCCACCACCTAGCCAAGCTGCTGGAAGCCCCCCAGGTGGCCCCAGCAACGTTTTTGCCACCTCCCCAGCCCTTCCCAGCATGTCCTCACATGCACTCACCCACCTGCCCACCATACACACCCCCATGGTTCCACCTGAGCTCCAGACCCCAGCTGCCATTGTGCCCAGACATGTGCATGCTGGGGCTGGCTTTCTCCCTGGAATGCTCTATGTACATAGCTAGTTTTATAGCCTGAATCCCCCTTAGCACACAGGGGGTTAAAGCTGTGTGTTCTTCGCTGTGGCTGTGATGGCGACAGTGACATCCACAGTAAAGAGGAGATCCGCTGAGACTGTGGCCTGGTTGCTTTCCTGTGGGGAGGGAGACCCATACCCACGCACTCAGACTGTAGCCCCGGTGACCAACATAAGATACACCCGGGACACCCAGCCCCTTTCAGGGCATGACACAGTGTATACTATGAGCCCAGCACCAGGCCAAGCCATAGAACACTTGAGCGCATGGTGCCTGGTGACAGACACAGTACCCTCCCCTGACGAGGAGACTGCACAGCCTCCTGACCCAGCCCAACCCCAACCTGGGGCAGAGAGAAAGGTCACTGGCACATAGTAAGTGTTTATTGAAATAGATTGAGTACTGCCTCCTCCCTTCACATGCAGGTAGGCACCCATGTAGCTCCTGATAGTTTCAAAGACCTGGGTGCCTTACAATCTCCCCACCAGGCCTAGATGTGCCAGTACCCCCGCCTCTGTTTCCCTCTGAAGCCCTCTCCTAGCACAGGTGGCACAGAAGAGTAAAGGGCTGAGTCTGAGGGAGAAGGCCCTGGCCGTACCAGGGATAGCCCTCAAGCCATGGCCCCAGGCAGGAATGAGAATTGGCATGCACTGGGGCCTGTCCACAGCTCTAGGCAGATGGGAGTTGGAGGGGGGCTTCTAATCAGAGGCCCCCTGTGATGACTGGCCAGTGCTCCAGAAGCTGGCCTAGCTGCTGGCGAGCATCATACCTGATGCTCCCTACAAGTACATATGCCTGTCCCTGGGCTGCTAGGAGATCCACTCGCTGCCAGAGGGGCTGGTCCCACCCCTCCTGTGGCCTAGCAAACCAAAGCCTGTATTGTCTGCAAGGGCTGGAGTTCTGATGGGCCCTGATGGGGACCCGTGCAGGTAGGAGAGGGCTGATGACTCTACCAGTCTAGCAGCTTCCAGGGAGAAGTCCCAGATTGTGCCTTTCTACCTAGCTGGGGTGAGGATTCACCAATTCAGTACCACCTAGGCATTGGTAGGGGGTGTTCTGTCCCCACTCCCTCCCAAGTTTGCTCTGTCCCCAGAGAGGGCTCAGGTGCCCTCTGAGGAACAGTGGGAGAAGTACCCTGGGTTGGAGAGCAGGCCAAAGAGCCGGCCTTGACTGGGCCCAGGAGGGGTGGACCTATATGGATGTTACCACCATTGGGACCTACAGGACAGGGAAGGGGAAAGAGGGTGGTTTGCTCCCTTCTTCTAAAGTCCTTGCACAGATGGCATATGATGACCAAGCTGCTTTCTGTGCTCACCCCTGAAGGAATGCAGACTGGGAGTCTACCCTGAGTGCAACTTACTGCAGTGCCCAGCCTCCCTGGGGAGCAGAACAGAGCTCTCCTAACAGCCACCCGGGAGGGCCAGAGACAAGCACCTCCGCCTGCCCAGAGGCCTAGCCTACATCTCAGCCCAGGACCCTGGCCATGTCTCAGGGCCTCTGGAAGGCAGGCAGGCGTCCTTGCTCACTGCTGGCCCAGTACTACTGTGGCCTGAGGGCAGAGAGGCAGACTGACTCAGGTGCTTCTGGGCTCCCAGACTTACTTCAACCCTGGCCTTTCTTCCCTCTGCCCGTAACCTCCCACAGGAACATTGTGCCAAACAAGTCCTTGAAGTAAGATTTATTACTAGGCCCTCTCGCTGGGGTCTCCCTTTGGGGGATCTGGGTCCAGACGGAGTGATAGAGTAAGAGGGTGTGTACCTGCTGACAGCGTGGGGCCAGGCCCTGCCTTCCTAGTGAGGCCCGTGCCCAAGCCCAGCGGCCACCCCATGCCAGGTGCCAGTGCTCACCCCACCCCCACCCTCCCCTAGCTCTTCTTGGCCTGCTCCCTGCGCCGGAGCTTCTCACGCTGCCGTGCAGCCTTCTCCTGGGCCTTGCGTGCCCTCTCGGCCGCGGCCGCCAGCTCCTTCGCCTTCCGCTTCACTAGCGCCCGGTCCTGCGAGTTGCTGAGCCCCAGGCTCTGGGGGAGGAACGCAGGGGTGAGGGAGAGGCCAGGCCCTGACTAGCCCAAGCCCCAGGTCCTTTGTGCCCCTAGTGGACTCTCTGGAGCCCTACAAGTCCTCCCTAAAGTGTGGCCTCCCTCTCTTGGACTTGCTAATGGGTCAGAACCCTCAAAGCAAGAGTGGAATGGGAGTTGTTGGGAGAGATGAGGTTTGGGGGGGTGCCATGCCCCACCGCAATCTTTGGCTCCCATCCCTCCACACAGGATTTCAGCCTTGGCATGCCCTGCCTGATCCCCTGAGGCCCACAGAGGGGGAGTGACTGGCCCAAGGTCACACAGCTAGTTGGCCTTCTCCAGAGTCTCCCTGGGGAATCTTCTCACCACCTCTTCCCCAGGCAACTCAGCAGAGGGTGGGAAACAGGCTGGAAACTTTCCAGCACCGAGGTCAGAGGCCCCTGACCTTCCCCAACTACCACCAGCCACCAAGACTGAGAATTAGCCAAGGCGATCAGGGGAGAGGCCTGGCTTCCTATGATACCAGGAAACTCATTAAAAAGTCAGATGATATGATAGTCCCAAAAGTAGGTCACCCTGGAGATTTGGGCTGGAGTTTGAAGGTCAAACCAAATAATTGGTCTTGAGTTTCAAATTAGACTAAGGATCCATTTTTGAGTACAAAGATTAGGCCAAGGACCTTGCCTAGAGGTCAGAGGTCAGAGCTGTGGCCTTGGAGTGTAAAGGTCAGAATGAGAGGATCCCAGTCCTTGAAGGTTGCCTCAGTGCCTGGCTGGGTCACGGCCCTTCCCCTCTGACCCACCTTGAGTTTGCTTCCATCCAGCTGCAGCAGCTGCGGCCCATCCACCTGCCGTGCAGCAAACTCGGCAGCATATTGTTCCAAGTTGAGGCTCTGCAGCCACTGGCCCACCTGCTGACTGGTCCAGTGGTGAACAGCAGGGAGAGGTTCATCCAGGAACTGGGGTGGAGGCCAAGGAGAGTGAGGGGGAAGACAGGGCCTGTGGCCTGCACACCTGGCAGCATCAGAGGTCAGGGCTTACTCACCTCATCTGAAGACTGGGACAGCGTGTGGTAAGAGTAGGAACACTTGGTCTCCTGCCGGGGACCACTCGGGATCTTGGGGCTGCTGCTGGGGGGTGTGGAGTCATCACTCAGGGTGGATTCCTAGACAGGGAGGGGTGCACGCTGCTGAGGAAAGGGCTTGCTCCCAAGCCCAAGGCAGTGCCGCCAATCCCCTGCCCTCAGCTGGATGGAGCTAGGCAGTAGGAGTTCTCAGTGTTTCTGTGCATGAACCAGGAGCTGGACAGGCACATACCATAGGGTCACTCATGTAAGGCATGAGGATTTGAGGTTCTAGGAGGACGTGGGGCTAGAACTGAGCCAGGCAAAATAGCAGGAATGGAGGAGGTATCAGCCTACGTGTTGCTTCCTACAAACAGCAGATCAGGATTACTTCAGGCCAGGTCAGGTGTCCCTGCCTGTGGCTTCTCACCATGCCCTTCAGCCCCTTGGCTTCTTGTAAGTGCCTGGTTAGAGGCTGTAAGCTCTATGAGGGCCTGGCCTGTGTTTATTCACCATGGTGTCCCCAGGGCCCAGCACAAGAGAAGGAAGAAATGGAAGAATGGAAGGAGGGCATGTAGAGAGGGAGGAAAGAAGGAAGGCCAAGTCAGAAGTCACACTGTGACTCCTCCCCTGAATTCCCAGCTTTCTGATCTCCTCTGACTCTGCTGTACGTAAGAAACAGAACCACAGAATAACTGGGTTGAGGGTCCTAAAGCCTGGCAACTAATCCATGTGGCAAGCCCCTTGTCTGGGCCTTCATTTGTTCATCTGTGTAATGCAAGTGTAAGCCTTTGTGAGAGTAAAGCAGAAACATGCATGTGGAGCTTTGTGAGCTGTGTGAACATAAACAGATGCTCCTTACTGCTTTTGTTACCTGGTTTCACTTCTCCTACAGGGTTTCAGGCTTTCTGAGCATTAGCTAGGTTGCGGTCCTATTCACCCCTCTTTCCCCCAAGTGTTACCCCACTACACAGGTGGCCCAGCTCCTAAGACAGGATGTGGAGCTAGAACTGAGCCAGGTGGAAGAGCTGGCCAGGATGGAGGAGCCCTCAGGCTAGGCATGTGGCAGGGGAATCAGTGTCCAGTGATGCATGTTGAATAGATGCAGCAATGAATGAATCAATGAATGAACTACTCAATATGAATGAGTGAATGAACTCAGAGAATGGATAAATTAATGAGTCCATGGATGGACAAATGGACGCTATGAATGCCTGGATCCCAGCCTGAGCCAGGGTGAAGCATGCCGTCTTGTCACCTGAGGGTGGGGGGCCAGAAGGCCATGGACTCACCTGAGAAGCTGACTTCTTAGGGCTGAAGCCCTCATGTTTAGGAGAGCAGGCAGGGGAGGTGGTGCTGCCAGAGGACGCCGAGCCCTTGCCGCTGTCTGTGAACCAGGAAAAGGGCAGGAACGGGGAGCCCCCTGACCTGCCGGCCCCCTCCACCGACTCCCTGTGGAGAGAGTGCCCTGCATGGGTGTGGACACCGAGGGGAGGCCAGGGACCCCCGGGAGCTACGGGGGGAAGCAGTGGCTGAGGCACTATCAGTATGGCTTACCTACTGCCCACTGACAGGCGGTTGCTGCCCTTGTCCTTCCGGCTCTTGCTGGTGGACGCTCTGCGTAAGGTGACCCTGTGGAGAGGTGGAGTGAGCGGGGTGGTGTGGCCCGCTGTGCCACCGTGCCCCCTGACAGCTCCAAGCCTTTGGTTCTAGCCCCTCCACCACTCACCCCAGGTCCAGGAACTTCCGGCGAGTCTTCTTATCCAGGCCGATGGTGGGGCTGGCAGGCTCAGGTGGGCTGGCATCCCGGCTGTCATCTGGGGAAGAGAAGGAAGCAAATAACCTGTGTGTGGCTTGCCTGCCTTCTTCAGCTGCCAGTGTGAGGAGGCAGAAGCTCTCATGGCTTAGAATCCGGTAACCTGGCTCTTCACAGCTGTGACCTAGGACAAATCACTACCTCTCTGAGCTCCCTTCATCTCAAATATGGGAATAATAACACCTTCCTATTTCATGAGATGTTCCTGAAAGCATTACACAAACCATAAGCCACCCTGAAAAGTAGAGACCGCTACTACTTACCGTTAATCTTACTTTTGCCAACTTCCCACCAGCCTTCCAATCTTACATACCACTTTCTCGAAGTTTTTCAGGATGCCCCCAACTAGGTCCTTTCACCCTGATACATGCTCTCCCACCACCGTGCATGTTTCTCACATAACACTTAATACAGCTTGTAACTACATTTTAAAGGATTACTTGATTTCTTCCTCCTCAAACTAGTGGTTTCTCCCGGCAACTCCAAGCACCGTGAGGACAAGAACTCCATCTGTTTGCTTACTCATGTGTTCCGGGGTCCAACAGTGTCTGGCACCTGGTAGCCGCTCAATAAAGCAAAGAATGAACCTTGATGCTTACTCCCCACCTCCCCCAGCCCAGACATTCTGGCCCACGTGGTCCAGCCCTGCGCTTCTGCGTCCGCCGGGACTCGGAGGGGCCGCTGCAGACCCGATGCACACCAGCAGGGGGCGCCCCGCCGGCCGCCGCTCACCTTCGCTGTGCGGCTCTGCGCGCGGGTGGCGGCGCACGAAGCTGGGCGAGCTGTCCGAGGAGGGCGCGGAGCGCGGCGGAGAGCAGGAAGCGGCGGCCAGGCCCTCGTGCGAGGCGGCGTTGTGCAGGGGCCGGTAGCGTGTGAGCGGCGAGGGCGGCGTTTCGTCCTCCTCCAGGCTGCGCCGCAACCCCGGAGGCTCCAGGCAAAAAGAGCCCCCGGCCGGGGACCCCGGGCCCGAGTGCAAAGGCGAGCGCAGCCGGTGCAGGGGGCTCCCGCAACCGTCCATCACCTGGGGAAAGTGGCAGCTGCTCACTGTCAGCCCTCCTCTCCCTTCCCAGAGGGACGGTGTCACACTGTAAAGTGCGAGAGAAACCCCCTCCCCACCTCACCCCAAAGCCAGGAACCCAGACTTTTTTTTTTGGTTCCTTGGGAACTTGGAGGGAAGGTTCACCCCTGCCGGAGGGCAGAGGGGTGGCTTGGCATTGAGCCGGGGGGAGACAGGGCCTTCAGTCACACAGGCTGGGGTTGAATCCTGCTTCTTTCACCTCACTGTGTGACTTCAAAACTGAACCTCTCAGAGAATCAGTTTCCTCATCTGTATGATGGGAATGGTTATACCTTCCTTAAAGGGATGAAATGAGCCATATGTGAATTCAGGTAATATTTGTTGGCATTATGATGTCAGAAGTCTGGGGTGTGGTTTCCCAGGAAGAGGTGTTTGGAGGGATTATCCAGGGGCAAGAAGGGTGGGTGGGGTATGTGTGATTAGGTGGGTTGCCCTAACCTTGCCTCCAGGCCCATCGGAGCCTTCACCATCCTCTGCAGAGCTAGCACTGTCCCGAAGCCTCGAGCGGGACGGCCGGTGTCTCCGGCCCTTGGCCAGTAGTTGGGCCCGGGCCTTGTGTAAACTGCTGTCCAGTCTGACGGTCTCTGGCACAGCCAAGTCCAGGTCTGTGAACCGGGTGAAAGGGCAGAGACTAGACACATGCGGACAGCCAGCCCAGAGGCCCACCTCAAGTGGCCACCTGCACTCATACCCCGGACATTCAACAAATGTTTCCAAATGCTAGGTGCCAAGAGTACAAATGAGATGGAAAGCAGGCTCTCTCATAGTCCCTCAGGGGGCTGACATGTCAGCACATAAATACAGCAGTGTGATGGAACTCACGGGCACCGGAGGACTGGGCAGCCCTGTTCGGATGGGTTGGAGGAGGGAACACCAAGCTGGGTCTTACGGTCTGGGTAAGAGTTTACAAGAGAGCAGTTTGCAAGCTCATATATGCAATGCTGAGAAGTGGGGAAGCAGAGGGGGGTCAACTCCAGAGCAAATGAAAGGTGTGTTTGTGAAGGGGAGGGCTGGGGAGTGAGGCTGGAGAGAACATGGTAATAATGGCTACCACTTAAGAACCTACTGTGTGCCAGAATGTATATCCATTACCTTTTCTATTTAACTACCTGAAGGCTAGGTACAGCTATCAGGCACATTTTATAGCTGAGCAAATGAGGTTCGGAGAGGTTAAGTCCCTTGACTGAAGCCACCAGTTAGCAATGGTCCTGGCTAATCTGGTTCCAGAGACTGGCCTTGCTGGGGACACTGGCTGCCACACTCAGGATTGCACCCTGAGACAGCATTGCTGAGAGGGCCCACAGTTGAAATGGTGCAGGCAGATCCCCTACAAGCTGGTGGAGGGGAAGGGAAGAAAATCCACAGTCCCCTGAAGCCTGTCTCGTGGGTCCTAGGGTCAGTGGTGCAGGGCTATGTCCTGGATGAAGACATGGAAGAAGAGCAGGTAAACCTCAAACAGATCATGCATAAATCCTATTGCTCCTAGTTTCACTTTTTCATTTGCTCCATCTGAGAATGAAGCCCTCATTCTGCACTGTCCCAGAGCTTGGCACTGGGGTCTCCAGGCTGAACAGGGGTCCCCAGGTTACCAGACCTCAGGATGGGTCATGACCTTTCTCCCTTACTCCCCCAACCCCAGGATCTCAGGGTCCCAAATCCCTGTCATGCCTGTCACTCATTATTCATGCCTGTCCTGCCTTGCCTGCTCCTCTTTCTCTTGTCTGCAGACACCCCCTAAGCCACCCCAGTTTCTCTCCCTGCTTAATGACCACCTGTCTGTTTCTTGCCCTGGCCCCCCTCTGAATCCCAAGCCTGGGCTCCTCAGCACCTGCCAGAGAACCTCCAATATCAGAGGCACCCAGACATCTCAAGCCATCAAAATGAACCCACCACCTTGCCTCAAACTGACTTCCCTGCTCCCTGCCTGAGTAAAAGGCCCCATTGTCCACCCATCTGCCAATTCAACAGCTTTGAGCTAACCTCCCCCTCAGCCCCACCCAGTTGGTAATTCATGTGTCCAGCTGCCTACGTGATTCCTCCACTTGGTTTTGCAGCAGGCATTTTTAGCATGCATGTCAAAACTGGCCTCCTGACCCCCACCCCGAGCTGTTTCCCCTAGTGGTCCCCCCTTGGCGAATGGCAACTCCATCCTTCCAGCTGCCCAGGCCACACCCTGGAGTCACCCTTGACTCCTCTGTTTCCCTCCCACCCTACAAACTGATCCATCCACAATTCCTGTTAGCTCTACTTTTGAATTATATCTAGGTATACTGAAATATTTATGTTGATAGGATATATTTTGGATTAGGTTCAAAATAATCCTGAGGAACAGGAGGAGAGAGTGGAAAGGGATACAGATGAGACAAGACTGGCCAGGAGCTGATGATTGTTGAGGTTGAGGGAGAGGTACATGAGCGTGTAATGGAATACACTGAGCTAGTCCTTCGACTTTTAATTTCCCACCATAAAATACTGTGTATGTGTCTGTCTGTGCACACAACTCACATGCACACAGAGAGAGTAGAGAGCAGAAAGCGAAGGGAGAAGAGGAGAGGATGGGAGGGCAGGGCAGAGGAAAGGAGAGGGAGACCCACCACCTCCCTGGTCTAGGCCACCATAACCTCTTGCCTCAATTATTTAAAAAGCCTCCCAGCTGGTCTTTCCTCCTCCCTTTCCCATTTACAGTCTATTTTCGACATAGCAGTCCAAGTGATCCTGACAAAACATGTCAGCTTTTGTTACTCCTCTGCTCAGAAGCCTCCAGGAACTTCCATCTCACACAGAGTAAGAGTCCAGGTTCTCCCAGTGGCTTTCCAGACTTAGTCTGCGCTCCCTTATTTCTCCGAGCTTCTACTTCTCTCCCTCTCCCTCTCTCCACTCCAGCTACTCTGCCCTCCTAGCTCTTCCTCACACAAACCTAGCCTGCACCTCAGGGCCTTTGCACTTCCTCTTCCCTTTTCCTCCTTGGCTCTAGACAGATTTCTGCATGATTCTCTCCCTCACCTCCCTCAGGTTTTTGCTTAAATGCTTTCTCTCATTGAGGACATCCCTGAGCACCCAATTTATAGTTCCCCCTAGAATCCCATCCCTTATTTATTCCTATGTAATTTATCATTTTCTGACATATTATGTATTTACTCATTTAGCTTATTATCTCCTTCCACCCATTAGACTGTCAGCTCCATGAGGGCAGATGTTTCTCTATTTTGTTCATTGCTCTAACATAGCATAGAATGGTGCCTGGTACATAGTAGGTGCTTAGTAAATATTATTTTTTTTAAAAAACGAGTTTTTTTTAGCACCCTGCCTCCACCTGCCTCCCTCTCCACTCTCTACAAGGTAGAAGAAACTCTCTAAAGTACATTTCTGAGTGTGCCCTCTACACTCTTGCTTTTGAAACCTGGTGGTGAGGAGGGCAGGGGGCTGGTCCTAAACATAAAGTTCATGCCCCTCAGCTCTCCATTCAAGGCCTGAGGGGTTCCAAGCCACCCTTTCTGTGATCCCCACACTGCCTCCTCTGTACAGCCTGCTCTTACACGGCCCTGTGGTGAAGCACATGGGCCCCAGAGCTAGACGGCCCAGGCTGAATCCAGTTCTGCCTCTTGCTGGCTGGGTGGCTCTGGACCCATTACTTACATTTAGGTTTGGCTTCCTCATCTGTAATATGGGGTCCTAATAGGGGTATCATAGAGTTGTGAGCATTAAATAAAATGACCCATATAAAGCACTTTGCCTTAATGCCTGTGACATGGTAAGCGCTTCATTAAGTACTAGCTGTTGGTGATGTTTGTACTAAACTGCTTATACTGGTACCTCGATACCTGCCTCTACCCGCGTTTCCCACCTGCCTCCCATGCTCATGCTGTTCTCTCTGTGCCATCACTCTCCACCCCTTCTTTGGCTGTCAACTCAAATACATCATCTCGCCACCACCTGCCAGCTCTGGACAGCTTCAGGCCTCAGCACTGCAATCTGGTTAGAAATGACTATCCTATGCCAGGCTGCACACTGCCCAGGACAAAGCCCTTCACTGTCCACTGAGTATCACGAGAGCCTGGTGCAGGTCCAGGTGGGGAGTGGGTACTCCAGTGGTGTTTGATGAATTGAAGCAAAGTCACACTTTGTGGACTGATGCATAGCTGGTCAGCGATGGGCTCAAGACACACGGAGGTGCTGATGCCCATTCCATCACATCCCCATTTTAATCCTCAGCATGGCACTCCTCACCACCTAATATGCTCCTTGTTTAGTTCAATGGGCTTTATTGTCGGTCCCCTGCTTACCCCTGCACTAGAATCCAAGCTCCATATGGGCAGTAACTTTATTAGGCGTGTTGGGGGCTGTCTCTCTAGGGCCTGGGACAGAGCCTGGCACATATTAAGAGCTCAGTAATATTTATCGAATGGATGAGAGATGGGGTGACTGGGGAGCTACAGCTTTAGATTAGGTAGCCAGGCTGAAGTGTGGGTGACAGTAAAGAGCCAAGGTGGCAGGGAGAACAAGAAAGGGCTTTGTAAGGTGAAACGGCTGTGTGGGCTTGGGGTTGTCTGGGCTGGTGTCTGAGGATCCCCAGGGCCAGTGTAGCCTCCAAGGACAGGGACTGGCCTGGCTGAAAGGGAAGGGAACCCAAGTTGTCCAGGGGTAGCTGGGGTGGCTTGGAGAGGGGAGAGATACTGTCAAAGGACTGCTTTCTTGGACCCCAGGCTCAACACCACTCATCTTATTCTTTAGCTGCCCCTGTCTTCCTTTTGGTGTTTCCAGTCTCTGGGGCTGAGCTGGAGAAGGGAGCTCTCTGTCCCCTGCTCTGACACAGAACCCCCGGGCATTATCTCAAGGCAGCAGGGATTGAGGACTGAACCACAGAATAACAACAGCTAATACTTATTGCTCTCTCACTGTGCTGGGCACCAGCTCTAAGTGCATTACAATTACTAGCTCATTTAATCCTCCCCCCAACCCTGCAAGGAGGAGACTCCAGGGATCCCCAGGGCAGCCTTAATTTGCCCCAGGGCATTAGTTGGAAATGAGTGGGCCAGGATTATAGGCAGTCTCCGTGTACACCTCCCAAGACCGCTAATCCTCCTCTGAGGCAAAGATGGGAGTGACCTGTGAGTCCAATGCCTCATTTTACAGGTGGGGAAACTAAGGCTCAGAAAGGAAAGATGCAGCCAAGTGTGCAGAGGGAGATAGGGATGGTTTCCAGGTCTCCCGGCTCCCAGGCCAGTGCTCTTGCTGTTCTGCGGGGTCTGGGGAGGGGAGCTGATGAGCACCTCCAGCACTCAGCTGGTACCCAGCCACCCTGGGCCAGGGAGAAGGCCCTTTACCTCTGACTCTGGGCCACATCAGGACCGTGGTCATTTCACCTTGGAGGGTCTAAGGAGCAAAGGGACTCCAGAGGGGCTTGGGGCTTTTGGAAACAATATTTCTCCGAGCTTCTACTTCTCTCCCTCTCCCTCTCTCCACTCCAGCTACTCTGCCCTCCTAGCTCTTCCTCACACAAACCTAGCCTGCACCTCAGGGCCTTTGCACTTCCTCTTCCCTTTTCCTCCTTGGCTCTAGACAGATTTCTGCATGATTCTCTCCCTCACCTCCCTCAGGTTTTTGCTTAAATGCTTTCTCTCATTGAGGACATCCCTGAGCACCCAATTTATAGTTCCCCCTAGAATCCCATCCCTTATTTATTCCTATGTAATTTATCATTTTCTGACATATTATGTATTTACTCATTTAGCTTATTATCTCCTTCCACCCATTAGACTGTCAGCTCCATGAGGGCAGATGTTTCTCTATTTTGTTCATTGCTCTAACATAGCATAGAATGGTGCCTGGTACATAGTAGGTGCTTAGTAAATATTATTTTTTTTAAAAAACGAGTTTTTTTTAGCACCCTGCCTCCACCTGCCTCCCTCTCCACTCTCTACAAGGTAGAAGAAACTCTCTAAAGTACATTTCTGAGTGTGCCCTCTACACTCTTGCTTTTGAAACCTGGTGGTGAGGAGGGCAGGGGGCTGGTCCTAAACATAAAGTTCATGCCCCTCAGCTCTCCATTCAAGGCCTGAGGGGTTCCAAGCCACCCTTTCTGTGATCCCCACACTGCCTCCTCTGTACAGCCTGCTCTTACACGGCCCTGTGGTGAAGCACATGGGCCCCAGAGCTAGACGGCCCAGGCTGAATCCAGTTCTGCCTCTTGCTGGCTGGGTGGCTCTGGACCCATTACTTACATTTAGGTTTGGCTTCCTCATCTGTAATATGGGGTCCTAATAGGGGTATCATAGAGTTGTGAGCATTAAATAAAATGACCCATATAAAGCACTTTGCCTTAATGCCTGTGACATGGTAAGCGCTTCATTAAGTACTAGCTGTTGGTGATGTTTGTACTAAACTGCTTATACTGGTACCTCGATACCTGCCTCTACCCGCGTTTCCCACCTGCCTCCCATGCTCATGCTGTTCTCTCTGTGCCATCACTCTCCACCCCTTCTTTGGCTGTCAACTCAAATACATCATCTCGCCACCACCTGCCAGCTCTGGACAGCTTCAGGCCTCAGCACTGCAATCTGGTTAGAAATGACTATCCTATGCCAGGCTGCACACTGCCCAGGACAAAGCCCTTCACTGTCCACTGAGTATCACGAGAGCCTGGTGCAGGTCCAGGTGGGGAGTGGGTACTCCAGTGGTGTTTGATGAATTGAAGCAAAGTCACACTTTGTGGACTGATGCATAGCTGGTCAGCGATGGGCTCAAGACACACGGAGGTGCTGATGCCCATTCCATCACATCCCCATTTTAATCCTCAGCATGGCACTCCTCACCACCTAATATGCTCCTTGTTTAGTTCAATGGGCTTTATTGTCGGTCCCCTGCTTACCCCTGCACTAGAATCCAAGCTCCATATGGGCAGTAACTTTATTAGGCGTGTTGGGGGCTGTCTCTCTAGGGCCTGGGACAGAGCCTGGCACATATTAAGAGCTCAGTAATATTTATCGAATGGATGAGAGATGGGGTGACTGGGGAGCTACAGCTTTAGATTAGGTAGCCAGGCTGAAGTGTGGGTGACAGTAAAGAGCCAAGGTGGCAGGGAGAACAAGAAAGGGCTTTGTAAGGTGAAACGGCTGTGTGGGCTTGGGGTTGTCTGGGCTGGTGTCTGAGGATCCCCAGGGCCAGTGTAGCCTCCAAGGACAGGGACTGGCCTGGCTGAAAGGGAAGGGAACCCAAGTTGTCCAGGGGTAGCTGGGGTGGCTTGGAGAGGGGAGAGATACTGTCAAAGGACTGCTTTCTTGGACCCCAGGCTCAACACCACTCATCTTATTCTTTAGCTGCCCCTGTCTTCCTTTTGGTGTTTCCAGTCTCTGGGGCTGAGCTGGAGAAGGGAGCTCTCTGTCCCCTGCTCTGACACAGAACCCCCGGGCATTATCTCAAGGCAGCAGGGATTGAGGACTGAACCACAGAATAACAACAGCTAATACTTATTGCTCTCTCACTGTGCTGGGCACCAGCTCTAAGTGCATTACAATTACTAGCTCATTTAATCCTCCCCCCAACCCTGCAAGGAGGAGACTCCAGGGATCCCCAGGGCAGCCTTAATTTGCCCCAGGGCATTAGTTGGAAATGAGTGGGCCAGGATTATAGGCAGTCTCCGTGTACACCTCCCAAGACCGCTAATCCTCCTCTGAGGCAAAGATGGGAGTGACCTGTGAGTCCAATGCCTCATTTTACAGGTGGGGAAACTAAGGCTCAGAAAGGAAAGATGCAGCCAAGTGTGCAGAGGGAGATAGGGATGGTTTCCAGGTCTCCCGGCTCCCAGGCCAGTGCTCTTGCTGTTCTGCGGGGTCTGGGGAGGGGAGCTGATGAGCACCTCCAGCACTCAGCTGGTACCCAGCCACCCTGGGCCAGGGAGAAGGCCCTTTACCTCTGACTCTGGGCCACATCAGGACCGTGGTCATTTCACCTTGGAGGGTCTAAGGAGCAAAGGGACTCCAGAGGGGCTTGGGGCTTTTGGAAACAAGGTGGGCCTGTCTCTCCTCTGGTCCCTGCTCTCCCTCTGCCTGTATCTGTCTGTCTCCCTCTCAGTCTCTCTCCCCAGCAGGGAGTTAGCCTGGCCCTGAGTAGTGGGGAGTCATGAATATTTAATTGCCTTCCCTATCAGGCAGCAGACAAGGCAGGTTAGCTACCTCAGCAGGTTGAGGAGAAGGAAAACAAGAAGAGTTGGGGTGAGGGTGGGAGGAGTAGAGGTCAAGAAGCCCAAGAAAGCTCATCTTGTCAGGCAAGGCCTGGGGGGAGATGGAGAGACTCAGAGTCTGAGGTCCAGAGGCAGCTCAAGTCTAGGGGAGTCCAGGAGGCCAACCTTCCATTCCACAGGGAGGCCTGGCAGGAAGTGGTGTTCCCCAGGAGCCAGAAGGCAGCAGTTCCTGGCATTTCCAGGGCATGTGGCCATGGGGGGGGAAGATGAGGTAAGCAGGGGAGGGTAAGGAAGTAGAGATGAAGAGAGATAGCAGGGGAGGAGAAGCTGGGAGCTGCTTAAGGCTGTGCACGTACTGTAGGCTTCAGGCAGCTGCTTCTGTGTCCCCACCTCTCCCTCCATGTTCCTTTGCTCCTGAGTCCATCTGGGAAACAGCCTTTCTTTCCACACCAATGCATGCTGGGAGCTCTGCCCTGTCAGGGTCAGGGTGGTCTTTCTCCACACAATAGAAAGGCTGCAGGAGGTAAATGATGGTGCAGGCAAGTATACACATGCACCCCAGTATATGAGTATACCCCAGTGTGTGTGTGCACCCCAGTGTGTGCATGAACCCCAGTGTGTACAGAGGGGCCTGGTCTGGGGGTATTGAGGCTGAGTGTGTGTTATGTATTTGATTTCCATGCACATCCATGTCGGGTGAGGTCCTTATTTATGCAACTTGGAGGTAACATGTGTCACCTGTGCTGGGGGATACAGGTGTATAGCACAGTGACTGAGAGCATGGAGTCTGAAGTTCTAGTTCCAGCTCTGCCACTAACCTGCCATGTGATCTTTAAAGCAAGTTGCTTCAGTACTCTGTGCCCTCCATTCGTCTATATAATGGGCATACTTCTTAGCATTACTCTGAGGATTAAATGACACAGTGCATGTGAGATGGGGGTGCTGGCCTAGTATCTGACATGACATAAGCACTTAATCAATGGAGACCCTTACTGTTATTGTTGTTCTAATTGGCATGTCCACTCAGACAGTAGTGACAGAGAATCAGGCTGTAAGGTCACAGCACACACACACACATATACACACACAGATGTCCCCAAGGGAACCCCCCAATGCCAGGTGGCCTTGGCTAGAGATATAGCTGAACAGAACTTACCAAAAACCTCATCTGTGGGTTCTCGGAGCTTTGAAGAAGCCATGACTCCAGACAGCTGGGGAGAACAAGGTGGGAGAGAGAAAAAGACTGTGGAGAAGAGGTTCAGGTTGGTGGAGGCAAGGGTACTGCCAAAGGCTACCTGTTCCTGGACTTCTGGCTCCTCACCTTCCCTTAGAACCCTTCTTCCAGCCCCCTGGGAGAGAGGCCATCTGAGCCACACCCAGATTGTGCAGCCTTGGGCAGGAGCAAATCCAGGGTGTAGACACAGGCCCAGTCCTGCGGTCTTGATCCAAGCTGATTTGCCGTGTGCCTTCACGTGGGTCACTGAACTTCTCCCCTTCACTCTCCTGGGCCTTTCCATCATTAGCATTCCCTAAAAACTTAGTCACCATAAATTGTCCAACAGAAATCTGGGAGAAATCTTGGAGATTATTAACTCCAGTACTCTCATTTTGCAAATAAGGAAACAGAGGGGAGAATGGCTGGCCTAAGATCACCCAACAAACTAATGACAAAGTCAGGACCAGAAACCACGTTCTTTCATTCATCCCTTTACCTACCTACCTACTTATCCATCCATCTACTTGCTCATTCATCCATCCATTTGTTCACTCATCCATCCACCATCACCCATTCATTTACCTATCCATTCATCCACCCATCTTTGCATCCATCAATTCATACCACCCATCCATCCATCACCCAGTTCTGCCTGCCCCCGCTCATCACTGAGACACTCACCACCTGCCTTCCTGAACACGAGCTGTTCAGGAAGCTGGCACCATCAGCAGGGCCGCTGTTCTTGACAAACTCACAGTTCTCACAGTTCTAGAAAGACTCACAGATGCAGGGGGGTATGAGGAGTACTCATAACAAAACAGTGGACAGCCAAATCTCTATGATGCATCAACTACATTCTGGGAAGAAGTGTGGATGGGTAAGGGTTTTGCTGTGTTTTGGCTTTTGGTGGGAAGCAAGAAGGGAAGGCAGGTGGAGAAACAGGATACGTGCAGCTGAAACAATGTGTCCTAGCAGACCTAGGAGAGAAGCAGCTCTAAACCAAGGTCTGGGTGTTAGAGGGGCAGGGGAATACCAGACAAGGGAAGTGAGAGGAAGCTCAGGGGCAGGGGCAAACTGCATGCTGGGAAATGACCTCTGATTACTCCTAGCACTCCGGTCCCCATGAGAAGGGCAAGACACTAGGCTAGACCATACATTTAATAGGTGTAGGAAAGCTAGGCCACATGCTTACTGGGGTCTTTTCTAACTCTTCTCTTGTTATTACATAGATATCATCTCACTGTGAGCTGGCCAGGCTTAGGATTCTTAGTATCTCCACCCTACAGATGGGAAAACTTGAGATGCAGGAGATAAGAGGCAGAACTCCACCTGGTCACCTGTCCCTCAGCCCTATCCTGGGTGATGACCTGGAGTTTTGGAGAATCCTAATGAGGAAAGGACTACTGGGAAATGGGAGACAGGTGGAGGGAGGAGAGCAGCTAGGAGGACTGAGAGACACTTCAAAACCACCTCCATCCCAAGCTCCTTGGATGCTTAGGGCTGATGGCAGGAAATGAGGTATGAGAAGGAGCCAGGGACATGGGACCTCCAAGAACCCTCCTGTTGTTCTTGAACTCTGGGTGCTAGCAGCAAAGAAGTTCTAGACCCTCTCTTCCTTCTTGAAGGGCCAGATGGGAAGAGATGCTGCCCCTAAGAATGAACCAAATTCCCTCATTCAGTCACAAAGCCTCATCTGGCCAGGACCCAGCTAGCTGCCATCTCCTCCAGAAAGCTGTCCTAGATAGACCTACCCCCTCCCATTTGTGTACAAAATTTCTAAATCCACCCTTCTCCAACTCCTGGGAAATGGGGAATTTTTCATACTTCATTGAGTCCCCAGATGTGCCATGTCTTCCCTACATCAGATGAGAGCTTCCTGAGGAGGGCCAGTGTTCCCCCTCAGACTGGGGACTCTCTGACAGTCAGAACTGCACCCTACCCCCACAAGAACAGAGCTCCCTGAAGGCAGTAGTGTGTCTCCTCTCTTAGACTACCTGAGAATGGAGATCCCATATGTTCTTTATTCCAGGTCCCCAGGGAGAGTGGAGCCCCTCCTGTGGATGGAGTCCTCTTTCAGATAGCCTCTGAGGTGGGCTAGCGCTTCCAGCTCACACCTGGGCCCAATTCATCCCAATTCAACACGAACTCCTTTCTTTCCCTCCCTTCAACAACTAAGTCCCTGAGGTGGGTATGAGGGGACGCCCCCCAAAACACTGTCCCATGGTGGACTCTAGGAAGCAGGACACTGGGGAGGTCACCAGGCCCCTCCCACCCAAACCCCTCCTTCCAAAACTGAGCCTTGGAAAATTAGACCAGCCCCCTAATTCACAGTCCTACACACACACACACACACTCACTCACTCACTCACTCACTCACTCACTCACTCACTCAACTAGGTAACTGCCACAAGATGTACATGAACCTGGCCTGGATACAGTCTGGGCTGGGTGCTACCAGGCCACTCCTTCCTCCCAGAGCTTCCAAGTCCCAGAGGAATAGCACCTGTGATTTTTGAACTTTATCTGGGAGTAAGGGAGGCCTGCCAGCTCAAAGTTTCCTGGGACCCAAGGGAAGAAGAAAGAGGAAAAGTGGGTGCACAAGTCCTGGAGGGAGGTGGGGAGCAAGAACAGAGAGAAGCCAGTGGAGAGTCAGGCCACAGAGCTGCAGAGAGAAGGAAGAGCAAGAAAGAGAGGAGAGAGTTGGGCCAGGGAAAGCAGTGGTGGAGACAGTGCTCCAGTGGCCAAGGGAGGCCCAAGGGAGGGCGTTGGGAGCCAAGAGTCTGCCCTGGGGAGAGGGGCGGCCCCAGCAGGGCAGGCAAGAGAAACGGGTCCCTGAAAGAGAAGAAAGAGACCAAGAGAGAAGTGCAGCCGGGAAAGGCCAGGAAGGAGCGGCCTGAGGGCTGGGGAAGCAGTTGTGGAGCTAGAGAAAGGGGTGCCCCCTCAGAGAGGCCCAGGCTTGGGGCATTCCGCAAAAGTCGGATCCCCCCTGTGCTCCCCGGAGATGGGGTTGGGGTGAAGGACAGGACATGTACTGCACTTCCAGGGCTTCTCTCCCCCAGTCAGAGCCGGGGCTAGTTTCTCTCCAATCCATCAGTCCAACTCGGTGGGCAAGGAAGAGTTAAGGCCTCTCCCCCTCCCCCAACACCAGTTTTTAAAAATTTCTCCAGGAGGGAGAGGATTAGGGGCACCAATCCCATCTCCGCCCCCTCCCCTGACAGCCCAGCACCCTAGCTCTGCGCGGGCCCCCTAGGGACAGGGGAAGAAAGGCTGTTGTTGCTTCGTCTCATCCAACCCTACTCAGGGTCCCACCGTGAGCCCAAGTGGCCCCCAGGCCCGCTTCCCCGGCCACTTCGGGGTCCTTGGGATCCCAGCCCCTCACCTCCAGCATCGGTCATCTTCAGCGTCCGGAGCCTCGGGAACCCCTCAGGCCCATGGTGCTCGAGGCGGGGGTCCAGACGGGAGAGGGACGGGGGCCGTCACCCCGGCCGCGGGGGGTTCCGGGCTGGCTCGATCCGCTCCATCCCGAGGGTGGGGTGGGGTGGACGAGGAGGGTCCTAGAGCCGGAGGGAATGGGTGCAGGGTGGGGAGAGAGGAAGGTTTGCAGGAAGCTGGAGGCGCGGGCGGGGCTGGACCAGGAGACCTAACGGGAGGATGCTCCGTGCGTGTGTGTGCGTGCGTATGTGTGTGTGTGTGTGTGTGTGTGTGTGTGTGTGTGCGCGCGCGCGCGTGAGAGAGAGAGAGACCCGGAGAGGGAGAGGGAGGGAACCACCTCCCCGCCCGCCAGGCCCGGCCGAGGCGGTGTCCCCCGCCTGGAAGGCCGTTACGTGTTGCGCTCCGTTGCGTCGCGTCCGCGGGGCCCGCGAGGGTCCTCCAGGAAGGGGCGACGCGGAGGTCGCGTGGCGGGGAGGCCGGGCGCCGGGGAGACAAAGAGCGGGCGGGGAAGGAGGGGGAGGAGCGGAGGCTTCAGGAGCCCGGGGGAGGGGGAGGCGGCCCCGCTCAGGCAAGGGGATTCTGAGTTGCGGCTACTTCTCGGCCCGCAGGAGGCGGCCCCGCCTTAGGACCCACGGGGCTTCTGTCATCCGCAAGGTCTGTGAGGGCCCCCGATTCATCCATTCTACAACCGTTCTGCGGAGCAGTTGTGCACGCCCAGGCCCGAGGGGCGCGGGGCACAGAACCGACCTGGCCTAGGCCGTCGGGGCTCGCGGCGTTGTCAGGGGTATACAGATGATGGGGAGGCCTCCACAAGGCTGGGCGCCGGGAGTCCAGGCTCACAGAGGACACTTTAGCGAGGGAAGAGAGCACCGGAGGGTGCTGGGCCGCAGGGGTCGGGTTGCTCGGGGTGGCAGGTGAAGGTAACTCCTGGAGGGAGGATTCCTGGAGGAGGTGATGTGTTGGCTACTCCTGCAGGCCAGGGCAGTGGGGCTTGGGGGTCTGAGTGGCAGGCGAGTGAGATAAATGGGGCTCAGGTCTGCATTTCAGAAAAAAGCCCTTGGCTCCTGTGTGAATTGGAGAAGGCTGCTTGAAGGCAGGGACACCCTCTGAGGCTGTTAAGAGATGCTGTTAGTAGGCATGAAGACTAAAGATCAAGTTAAGAACTATCCAGGATGTAGAACTGAAGAGATTGACAGATCTGGGGACTGGCTGGCCACAGGGTAAGGAGGGGTCTAAGGATGACTGTAGGTTTGGCTTGAGGCCAAGAGCCTTGGGGCGGGCGAGGGGGGGGGTGATGAGGTCAGACTTGGACCTGGTGAGCTGGAGGTGGTGGCAGGCCAGCCAGGGGAGATATATGTAATAATTAACAACCAGCTATCAATCATACTGTGATGGTTTAGGAGGAGCCAGGCACTGTACCAAGTACTTTTCTCAGATTATTAAGGTCACTCTTATGATAAATCTGAGGTAGGTGTTTCTATTACACCCATTTTAAGAGGGGAAAATGGAGACTTAGAAGAATGAAAGTGGTTTGTTCAGAGCAAGTGATGAGGTTGAATAAGGGGGTAATAAGGGGGTACAGAGCTTAGGGTAGAGGCATGCACTCTATAGGGATAGAGCTCCCTGTTGGCACGCTGGAATCTCCGCAGTCTCAGGTCCTGCAGGGGTTGTGGGAGGTGGCTTGTTGAGCCAGGATGGCCTTGGGACTGTGGGTGAGGACAATTAATAACCTTTAGGGGCTGAATGTATCCAAGAAGATGTGTGGGAGCTTCGGAGTCTCTGGGCATCTTTAGAATCTGCTGGCAGCCATGGGGTGCTAGCTAGACTGTGGAGATCTGGGGAGGGACTGGTGACTGGGTGACAGCCTATGGGGCCTATTTATCTGGGGTCTTTAAATATGTGGTTTACAGGTATCTGATGCAATCTGGGTAGTAGGCTGGAGTGGGGGGATTGATTATATAGCCCCTGTAGGGAGTGGGGAGTTGACATAATGTCAGTGCTGGGGGACAGGTTCTGTGTGGAAGGGTGGCTGCTAGGCCACAGGACCTGGGAGGACCCCCTGTTCCTAGTGATGCCTAAGTTTCTAAGGGTTGAGAAGACCCCCATCAACTGATTTCCCTCCCCTATGGGAAATGTTAGGGTTATGGCAAAACTGCTCAATCTGGCAAGAACTGGGCAAGCAAGAGGATGGGGCTGAGATAACAGTCCTCACATAGGCCTGCCCATAGCTACTGACACCTCATGGGCGAGTCACATCTCAGGTCTGAGAAACAGCAAAGCCACACACCACACCACTAGCCACACAACATACTAAGTCTAGTCATGTGGGCAACTTGGCCCACCTTTTGGAATATACAATGTGCAGGCCCTTCATCTAATACACAGAACAGATGGAGTGGCAAGGACCCTGCCCTGGTAGCTTAGCCCCAGTCAGACCAGCAGAAGCCCTCACCATAACCGCCTTGTCTGCCTTCCCACCCAGGTAAGTCCAGCCACTTCACTTCTTGGGACTTCTTTGTTAGGTTTCCTGGGCAGATCCTCATCGACCTCTGACTCTGGAGCCATACCCTGTGACCTTGTGGTTGCCTTTGAATTTGGGATTCAGCCACCTGGATCTGTCTTCCTAGAAGTTCCAAGAAGAGACCTTGAGGAGCCTGGTCACCATCCCCAGGTTTCCAAGTGACCCTTAGATGAGTGGCAGCTCTGACAGGTCCTAAACGGCCCTGAGGTTTGGGACTAGGAACTTTGAGAGGAAGCTAAGGGAAGCCAGAATTTGGCTTGACATGAATGACTTGTCTGATGCAGTCATCCACAAGGGAGTTGCTACCTCAGGAGCTGACTGCCACTGGGAATTGTAGTAGATGTCACTCATCTCAGGTGTTGTCAGGGAACCCCCAAGGTGATCTTAAGGGCCCCGATGTTGGGACTTCCTTTCCTTAGGGCAGAGGACAACGTGAGAGTCCGGTTGGGCAGCATGACGGTCACTAAACACCATAGCCTTATGCTTCAATTCTCTCACACACATGCCAGCACCCAGAACAAGGGAAGGCTGGTGTGGGCATGGCCATATGCCTTAGCCCTCCCTCCCCACTGCTCTCACCTCTAGGCTCCAGGACTTGATCAAGCTTGTCCCTGGCACCTGGACTCCCAGACTCATACCAACCAGATCTGCTGGCACAGAGCAGGGGGCTAGAACTACTTAAAGCCTCTCAGGCCTCTGGCTGAGGGATTCTCTAGGACCCTGGGGACAACGCCGCTCTGCTGTTACCTCCACCCTCACTGCCACCCCCAGAAAAACCTTTGATCCTTCACCTACCTCCTGTGCGCCCTGTTTAGAGTAGTAGCTAGGTATCCCCTTCAGGTTAGAGGATTTCTCAGAGGATCTTGGAGTTCGCCTTATCATACTAACCCATCCTCTGGATTCCATCCAAGGCCTTGTAAAAAAGGTAATGCGAAGAGCCTAAGGAACTCCCTGGAAACCCTCGACCTGCCCAGGAGGATGGATTTAAAACGAGGCTACTGATGGGAGCAACGGTGTTAGACACAGTTTGCTGGAACCGGAAACAGAGGATCTCGGCAGGAAGACCCTCAGAGTCAGAGGCTGCACTGGTAGGAAGGGACCACTAGGCGCATGTTGCCATCCCAGCCCCTCCCCCACTGCCCTCTACAGCCAATCAAAGAAACAGACAGCGAGGCTCTGGGGCTGCTTTTATGGGGACGACCTGACAGAGGGCATGGTCCGTACAAAACCAGGAACAATACATACATATATATATATTATATACAGAGACGCGGTCCTACGGAGGGCGGGGCAGGGGCTGCCGCCAGCCCGAAAAACCGGAAGCTCCACGCGGCCCCGCCCCCTCCATCTGCCGGGACGGCGGTGGTGAAGCGCACCGGCCCGCGGACTCAGCCAGCCAGCTCTTTCCAGGGTTAGGGGCACGTCCGGAGGACAGGAAGGGGCGGGGGCGAGAAATACTGATCGACGGCATGGCCTATTTACAGGGAACGAGGAAAAGCCAAAACGGATGGAACGGGGATATTTTTAAAAAATGAAAAACCCAGGCTGGAGCAGGGGCATGAGGAACCTCGAGGCAAAATAAGAGATGGATTCTGAAAAGGGAAAGGCCCTGGGGGTTGGGGGGGCGAGTATCTCTTGGTCCAAGCCCCAATTTGGGGTTAAAGTGAGGAAACGGAGTGGATTTCACTTAGAAAGCAGGCTGCCAGCAAGGCAGCCCTGGTCTCCAAAAAGATGAGTAGTAAAATTTGCCCTCCAGTCAAAACATTCGAAAACTGGGTGTGGGTGGGGTGAGGCTGAATCTCTGTGATGTTAGTACAAGGCTTCCAGGTGTGGCCCTGGACAGGACAGGGCAGAGCAGCGCCTGGCTCACCAGGGAGAAATGTTACCCTCGCCTAAGACCAGGGGCTCTGCAGCCAGGCCCCCTAAGCTGACCTCCTCTCCTCCCTGGCACTCTCCCAGGCTTGGCCAGGAAACCTGGACCCCAGAGAGGCTGCAGAACAGTTCTAGGAGGAGGAAGTTATGGCTATTTGGCACCTGGGGGCCAGGAGGCACAAGGAGAATTGAGGGCTGCTGCCCCCAGAAAAGGGGAGCTGGGGACCAAGTGTTCTGGACTTTCCCCCTTTCCTGCTCTCACTCCCCTTTTCCTGAAGGATACATGAGAAATCAGTGCAGGGCCAGGCTCTAGGGTGGACTCAATTCCTCCCTCCTGGGAGGGGGGACAAGGATGGAAGGAGGTGAGGAGGCAACCCCTCCCAGCAGGAGAGTCAAACTGCAACAGAGACAGCACAATGATGGGAGAAGGGGAAGGGTCAAGAAGCCCAGGGGCAACCCAGAAGCCCCATGGGCAGGGAGCAGCCTCCAGGTGGTGAGATGCTGGGACAGCCCCCAGCCCCATGCCAGTCCAGAGACAAAGGCTGGAGGCTGTAAAGTCTGGCAGTTTGGTCTGCAGGTCCTTGTGTCCACCTACCACCCCAGACCAGCCCTTGGCCTCCCTTGGCCTCTGTGACTCAGACCCATGAGACAAGAAGGAGGCCATCCTTCCAGCTCTGCCCAGGCCTCTTTAAGGGGGCCTGTGCTACGGGCCCTCTGGTCCCTGAAGCTTGGGGAAGTAGGGTGGAGGGGTGGGGGAATTGGGGCACCTGTCCCCAGGCTGGTAGGGAGCGGGGGTGAAGTATTGAGGACAGGGGAGGGAGGACAATGGGAGGGGATTATTTTCCAGTCAAGGAATGATTCTTAAGTAGAATTGGAATTCCTCAGTGTTTGCAGGTTTCCTTCCAGTTCTGAGATCTGGAAAACAAAGGGAGAGGGGGTTAGGCCTGCGCATTGGGCATGGGACCTGTCCCTTCTGCCCTCCTGGCGGGGACATGACCCTGAGCTCTCAGCCAGCAATATGACTCCTCTCAAGAACCATGGAGTGGGTTCTAGAGAGAAGGGCTTACCCGATGCTCCCTCCATAGGGCCCTGCCCCCAAGGCAGCCCTG